CCCTCGTGGCCCGTGTGTTCACCCCCCCCCTCCTTCCCCCCGCGCTCCTGAGTGACAGCGGGGACGGGGGAAGCCCCTCGGAAGGGAACGGGCAGCGCCTGCGGGGGTTCTGCCTGGGTTTTATGGTCGCAGCAGCCGAGGAAGGCTCCTCAAGGGGCTTGGGTGGTCCCTGCTGGCCTGTGACCCCCCCTCCCTCAAAAAGTCAGAGGCTGGGCTGTCCCTTGGCCCTGGGAAGGCCACCATGGGGCCAAGGGTGGCCACCATGGGCCAAGGGTGGCCAACGCCAAGGCTGTGCCCCTCTGTGCCCCCGTTCCCTAAATCCCACCCCACTCTCTGGGTCGCCTTCAAACTTCAGGGCTGAAGCAATCGTGGTTTCGTGGCGAGGAAAAAGGTCCAGAATCCATGTTTCCTGTGGGTAGCATCTGGGAGGATAAATGAAAATAAAAAGAAGAGTCTCTTTTGGGGGGAGATTGCTGCTTTCAGAGTTTATACCTGGCTATATGTGACTTGGGCGTTGCATTTGTGGGGCAGAGGCAGGTCCCTGCCCCCATGGGAAGGTACCTCCATCAGGACAAACAGGTCCTGGGTGACTGTAGCGTATGGAATATATAGGGAGCACAAACAGGCACCTGCTTAAACCCATCTCTCCTCAAGGTACCCCTCAGCTTTGCGAGCTGGAGCCCGGCTGTAATCACCAGGACTTTGCATTGGGGTTTTGCATCCTCCTTGAAATGTGTTAAAAAGTCTCTGGGGCCAACACCCCCGGGGTAGTGGGCAGAGCTGGGATGGCGATGGGCAGAGCTGGGATGGCGGTGGCACAGGAGCTTGGAGCTCGGCACGTCCCTGGCGTGTCCCCTGCTTCCCCGCCTGCTCGGGGTGAGTCAAGCAAACGCGCGCCAATATGGTGCGACAGCAGCCCTCACGTGTGCCCAGGGCTGCCGCAGGGAGACGTCGCATCTCCTCTGCCTCCGGTCCTCGTTTTCAGGTTAATTTCCTTTCTGGTGAAGGAAAACGTTAATTATTTATCAGAGACAAAAAGCTGCGTAGGGACGGCGTGGCTTGGGAGGGTGGAGGTAAACAATCGTTTGCATCGCACGCGTTTGGGAAAAATAAAGATTTTTCCCCTTTCATCCGAGTTGTTCGCACTGAGGAAGAAGAAGTCTAGAGACCCGTTCTGAGGGTAACAGCCTGGACTTTAAATCTGATCGTTTTAAGAGGGTGCTCTGCCGTCACTAAGCCAGGAGACAGTGCTTCGCCTGTGTCACCAGGAGTTGAGAGGCTCCTGAGATATTTCCTTTCCCATGGTTTCGCAGTGATGGCTGCTTACGCTGCTAATTTTAGAGAGACTTTGGATTCTTTTTTTTTTTTTTTGTTCCCTTTAAGACCGGAGAAAAGCCGTGTGTCCTCTGGGATGGAACGGGCCGAGGGAAAGGCGAAGCTGGAGAGCGCAAACGAGCGCACATTAACGAGGACCTGTGCAAAGATGGAGGCAAATCCACCCCGGGCAGACGTAGCTGGTGTCTCTAAAATGTTGCTCTGCTGCTTGGCCGAGTGTGGGGCGAGTCGTCCCGACGGTGAAAGAGAAAAGAACCGGAAAAGGTCACGGTGTCGGTACCAGATTGTCAATTCAACATCGGCAAAGAGGAATTCAAGTCCATGGTTCCTGAATCCCTGGGCATGAAGTGCACGTTGATGGTGTTTTCAGTGTGATTCGTCAATAATTGAAGGGGTTTTTTTCCGCAGGTTCATCACTGGCAGTGGCTTTACGTTGTGTATACAGGTGTGTATACGTAGGTATTAACTGAAATACCTCCACACGTACTGACTTCTGAGAAGTTGCCCTACTTGACCAAGAGCTGCATAATTACAGTGCTCTGGCCTCCTGTGAAGGGTTGTTAGATGAATCAGGAGGTATTGATACCCTATGACTTACTCCTGCAAATGCAGGGGAATAACCTATTCAATTACCCCCGTAAAAGCCTGCCCTCGGTAGGTGCTTAATCCATGGAAATCAGAATTTAAAAACGTATTTTCCTCCCCAAAACAGCTGCCCGGGCAGCGCGCAGACCAGGGCCCAAAGTTTATTATTAACGCCGCTCACCCCGCGCCCGCTGGCAGAGTAAAAAAAAAAGGTGTTTGCTGTATAAATCCTTGCTGCCCTTTACCACGCAGCTGGAGGATCCCAGCGAGGGACGTGGTCCTGTGTGGAGCCCGAGAGATCAAAGTCCTATTAAAAGCAGCTCGTAGCATTTCCTCCCCTGGGAGAGACGTTAATTTACGGAGGAAGCTCTTCGCATGGGAATTCAGCCGCTTCCTTGGACACGGCTTCTTCTGGGGGAGGGGGGGATTTCTCCCAGGGGAGGCCCCTGAGATCCTCTTTTGACCCAGCATCCAGGCGGGTGTCACCTTCTTGGAGGTAGGTTCTCCAGGCGGTTGGCTGGGCCTTCCTCCTCCTCCTCCTCCTCCTCTTCCTCCTCCTGCTGGGGACTGCAGTGCTATTCCCAGGCACTTCCTGGACGGCGTTGTCCTGTGGGTGGGGAAGGCCGCGGAGCCACGAGAGATGCCAACACTAAAATAAGCCTTTGGCCAGGACGCTGTGCTCTCATGTCCACGTCCAGTCCCTGAGGCGGAGGGAAGGCCAGGGGGGAGGCAGGAAGGAAGTGAGGCCTCTTGCCACAAATAACTCCCCATCCTCTCACGGGCCTGTGGGCCCAGCCTCCCCCGCAGCCTTCCCTGGAGGGGCCGTGCCCTCCCTGGGGGGGGGTCGGTAGCACCCCCGGGGCTCGGTGCCCTTCACAGCCTCGGGCCTTTCCTCAGGGCCTGCCCTGGTAATGGCGCCTGGCGCCATCCCGCCCCACCGCTGGAGGGCGCTCTACCTCGCCGTCCCCGCCTTCCCTCGCACTACAAGTCCCGTCGCACCCCCCCCAACTCTCCCCGCGCAACCGGAAGTGCGGGCCGCACAGCCGCGGGGCGCCTCTGGGAGTTGTAGTCCCGCCGGCCGGAAGCCGCCGCCCCGCCGCCTCCCGCCTTGGCGGAGGGCGGGCGGGCGGCGGGACTACAACTCCCACCCCGCCCCGCGTACCGGGGCGGCAATGGCGGCGGCGGCGCCTGCGCGCGGCGCCCGCCGTGCGGACCGCGCAGAGTGAATAATAAAGG